AAGAAATCTCACTACATGTCTCCTTAGCCATCTTCAGTCTAATAGGCTGAGTGAGTCCCTCTATAAACCTCCTCACCCTCTCTCTCTCTCTCTCTATCTCTCTCTCTCTCTCTCTCTCTCTCTTTATCTCTCTCTCTCTTAGTGGGGAGTATCAGAAGAGCATGACGAGCCAAATTAATAAACCTCATCTCGTACTAGGAGACAATCATAGAACCCTACTGAAGACGCTCGAACCGCCTGCGGTACTCCTCTCTTTGAGTGACGGGAAGGAACTTCTCGAGAAATAGCTACGAGAACTGGTCCCAAGTAAGAGCTGGTGATCTAGCTGGTCTGGCCAAACAATTATCTCTCTACCATTTCTTGGCGGAACTTGACAGACGAAAAGCAGCAAAGTCGATCCCATTGGTCTTCACTATCCCCATGTTACGAAGAACCTCATGACAACTGTCTAAATAATCCTGGGGATCCTCTGAAGATGTACCACCATAGGTAGTAGTGAAGAGCTTGGTGAACCTATCCAACCTCCATAAAGCATCGGCATACATAGCTGCTCCATCACCAGTCTGAGCTACTACACCCGGCTGAACTGCTCCAACTGGCTGAGCTGCTAGAGTCTGAAACTGGGGAGCTATCTACTCTAGAGTGCGGGTAGCGGGAGTCTGTGCTCCTCCCCCAGCCTCAGAGATGGCTGGTGCTACAGGAAGTAAGTCTGCCTAGGTGACACTTTCCATAAGGCCCACTAGACGGACCAGAGCATCTTGGAGTACCGGGATAGCAATGAACCCCTCTGGGACCTAAGCTGGGCCTGCTGGAACTATCTGGTACGAAACTTCATCATCAAACTCTACCTAAGGCTTCGCCGTTGGTGCTGCTACTCTGGACTGAGCTCTACCCTTGCCTCGGCCTCTACCCCTCGTGAGAGCTGCTGCTGGGGGTTTGGGTTGCTGATCAGAGGATGAAGAAGCATGTGTTCTTGCCATCTGCGAAAAAATAGAGTAGAAGTTCAACTAGCATTGAGAAACCAAATCGCATGACAGAGAATAATATATGTGAAGTCATTCCTAAACTCTGTAGCCTCCGAGGGATAAGCACAAACATCTCCGTACAGATCCCTTAGAATCAACTAAGCTTGTCCATTAATTGTGAGACCTAATCAACCTAGAGCTCTAATACCAACATGTCACGACCCGAATTACCCACCGCCGGGACCGTGATGACGCCTAATATTGAACCCTTTAGGCAAGCCAACGTTATTGATTATTCTACCCTTTTACCTTTATCTTTAACAATTTACCAAAATAATACAAGCATACCGCAGAATTAGAAATGCAGAAGAACATAATTTAACAGTTTAACTAATACTAATACGAAATCCATAACAATACTCAACCCAGAACTGGTTTCACAATCTCACGGACTATCTACGAATACTACAAATAGGGTCTGAACAAAGAAAATATATGTATGTCTCTGAAATAGAAAAGAACAGAAAGAAACAGGATAGAAGGGGATGCCAAGGCCTGCGGATGCCTGCAGGACTACCTCGGGTCACCGCTGGACTGGAGGTAGCAACCTCTAACTATGGTCCGTATGCTCCAGTAGCTGGATCTGCACAAAAAAGTGCAGAGTGTAGTATCAGTACAACCGACCCCATGTACTGAGTAAGTGTCAAGCCTAACCTCGGCGAAATAGTGACGAGACTAGGACATAACAAACAATATAACCTGCAGTTAAACAATATCTAACAAAATAACAGTAATAGAAGCAAATCAAAAGTAATGGGGAGGGGTAACATGCTATGGGAGATACCAACATAAAGAATCATAGAAATAACGGAATGAAACAATTAAGGCACTTGAACCGATAACAACAAGAAATCATAACAAGTTGGCAAGAAATGCACGACATCACTCTTCGTGCTTTTACTCTCAATCCTCACCATGCAATCAATATTGAAAATATGCACGGCATCATCCTTCGTGCTTTATCCCTCTTCCTCACCATATAAATATTAGAAATGTGCACGACATCACCCTTCATGCTTTATCTCTCTTCCTCACCATATGCATCAATACCAATGTAAATTGCACGGCATCACCCTTCGTGCTTTATTACTCTTTCCTCGCTATATGTATAAGTATGAATGTGCACGACATCACCCTTTGTGCTTTATCACTCTTTCATCACCCAAACAATAGTAACAATTAACATCCCGGCAAGGGAATCAACAATAAGAATAAATACATCCCGAGAATCATAAATAAGAATTAAATACATTCCGGCAAGGGAATAAACTATAACCAATTTTGTTCCAACAATTAACATAACAAATAAACCTCAACTAGAGCTAATACTCAACAATTGACAAATACTACGAAAAATGATCATAAGTCTTACTCAACATCAGCAATCAACAATTTAGGCATTTATAGTACTTATCAAGAATCACAATGATTACAATTTAAGACTCACGAGCATACTTGACACCAGCGTATAGATACTCGTCACCACACCTATACATTGTACACTACACTAGAACATAGCAAATAAGGCACAACACCTACTCCCTCAAGCTAAGGTTAGACCAAACACTTACCTCGATTCCACGGCCACGAATCAAGCCTCAACTATCGCTTTCCCTTTTGGTTCCACTTCCAATTCAATTGTATCTAGCCAATATTAACTTATTAACATCAGTAAATGCTAAAGAACTCATACCCAACGCTTAATTATAGCTTTCCTAATATTTTTCCCAAAAACCCAAAAATCTACCCCGGGCCCGCTTGGTCAAAACTCGATCATCGGACCAAAACTGAATACCCATTTACCCACGAGCCCAAATATGCAATTAGTTTCGGAATCCGACCCCAAATCGAGGTCTAAATGCCCAAATTTATAAAATCCCCAATTCTCTTAAAATTCCTAATTTCTACCCTTAAAGAACAAGATTTAGGCCTAGATATCTAATGGGTGTTGATGAAAAATAAAAGAAATGAGTCTAAGAATACATATCTATGGGTTGGTGATGAAACCCCCCTAAAAGGTCGCCCAAGGTCTGATTTTAGGAAAGGAAATATGAAAATATGGCTGAATTCCCGTTCTGGTTCTGTTTTAAAAAGAATAGGCAGGTCTTCTTTGCGTTCGCGAAGGGCCTGCCGCGTTCTTGAAGAGCTACCTTCCTCAAGCTTATGCGATCGCGAGTTCTTCCATGCGTTCGCGACGGGTAAGCCCCTCTGACCTTCGCGTTCACGGACCAATGTACGCGTTCGCGTAGAAGAAATGGTCAATTCCCAGCCCACCTCCATTTTACTATACGTGTTCGCGTGACACAGGTTGCGTTCGCGTAGAGCAGCCCCCCCAGTGCTCCGCGTTCGCAATCCTCGATACGCGTTCGCGTTGAACAAACCCAGCCCCAGCCCTGATTACACTTTGCGATCGTGAGAGTGGCTTCGCGACCGCGAAACATAAAATGTCTGTATACCAGAAGCAGCAAAGACAACAGAAGTTTCTAAGTCCAAAACATCCCGAACCCCATCCGAAACTCGCTCGAGCCCCTGGGGCTCCAAACCAAACATGCATACCAACCTAAAAACATCATACGATCTTACTCGTACGATCATATCGCCAAAATGATACCTAGAACTACAAGTTTAGCATCAAAATCAAAGAAAAGTCTCAAGAACTCTTAAAGTTCCATTTTCACAACCGACGGTCCGATTCACACCATATGAATTCCGTTTCTTACCAAATTTTACAGGCACAACGTAAATACCATATTAAACCAGTATCGGGCTCCGAAACTAAAATACAGGCCTGATACCATCAACTTCAAACATCTTTAAATTTTCAGAAACTCTTATAATTTCTGTTAAACAATTTCTTTCAAAACCTCATTTCTCGGGCCTGGAGCCTCAGATTTCGATTCCGGGCATACGCCCAAGTCCCATATTTTTTATGGACCCTCCGGAACTATCAATTCAAGGGTCCGGGTCCTTTTACCTAAAATGTTGGCCGAAGTCAACTTAAATTCAATTTTAAAGGCAAAATTAGCATTTTCTCAAATTTTTCACATAAGGGCTTTCCGGATATACGCTCGGACTGCACAAGAAAATCGAGGTGAGATTAAAGAAGATTTTTAAGGTCTCGGAACACAGAATTGACTTTTAAAACAAGTGATGACCCAAAAGGTCATCACAACTTGCCTTTTTCTCGCCTTCGGTTCCACGTGTCATGCTACCATTTTGCCATTTGTTGTAGACAAATTTTACCATATACACTACATTATATTAAAAATATTTGGATGATAAAAAAGGGAACATCTTTTGAAAACTAGTAAACTTAATCTTATGTAACCAATACAAAATTTATAACAACTTCTATACCCTTGGTTTGATTTGTATTTGTTGGATTATGGGTCATGGGTCACTTCATGTGGCTGACCCGATCCGGTTAGGAGAGATAAGGGAGAGAGGTTAAGAGAAGTTACCACTAGACCACAAACTCCACTAAATTGAACGTGCAAAAAAGGGGTGAGTTGTGGGTTATTTTCCTTAACCGCGATTACTCTGCCTATTTATGTGAAGGAGACAATATAGAACAGAGAACGGTAATAATTTTCTCTGACTCAAGAATTTCCTCTGACTCTCTTCTTCTCTCAACAAAAAACACACACAAGTGGAAGATTAACTTTGTTTCCTAGTGATTCAAAATTCGGTTTGGGGCAATTGTTTCGGTGGTGAGTTCAACAATTCTTCCGCTGCGTTGACAGGTACGCTACTGTTATTCTCGCCCCGCTATGATTATTCTAACAGTATTTGATGTTGGTTTTTGTTGCTGGTAGATATAAAACGATTGAATAAGCATATATATTATAATAATGGCTAGATCAAATCCATTTATTCTGATTAAACCAGTAGCTTGAAAATGCCTTAATTTCTTTCTTTTGTAGAAGCTGAATTTTATATTTTAACCATACTTTCTATCAAATAGAATTATGGAACTTCCCAAAACAGACGTTTATCTAGCTGCCATACAATTTTCATACTTAATTATCTGCCGTCAAGGTTTGTCAAAGTGACATAATTTACAGAACCTCCATTATCCTCAAAGAAGTTAGCGAAAGCAGGCTGTAATGGTGCCGGCAAACTTGTAACTTCACTTGAAAGCATGGAAAGAACAGTTGAAATTGTTGGCCTGTCTCTAGCAAATTCTTGCACACACAACAAACCTATGTGTATGCATCTCTTTAACACCACTTCGAAGTCTGGATCCCATATCACTGGATCAATGAATTTTGATGTATTATTCTCTTTCCAGAGTTCCCATGCCTGAAAATTTGTTTTATTGGTTTTAGATATAAAGAAAAATTGCACAACTTTAGGTTCAAACATGTAGGCAAAATAGGAAAGATATTCAAAAGAGTTACAAAAGAGAACTAAAGAAACTTACATATCCAAGAAGGCTTAATGGGATATCCTCATTCCAAAAACTTGCAACCTTTTGCCCACACATGATTTCCAACAGTAGCACTCCAAAGCTAAAAACATCAGATTTCTCAGAGAATCTCCCTTTGATGGCGTACTCTGGGGCCATATACCCGCTAAGACGATGCAATTAGACGATAAATTAACTTCGCTTAATGTGGGAACTTTTGAATAACAGAATTTTACACATTTGAATGCTTACTTACTAGGTTCCTGCAACTTTTCTTGTCTCTGCTTGATCTTGGTTGCATTTGAAAATTCTAGCCATGCCAAAGTCTGAAATCTTTGGATTGAAATCATTATCTAGCAAAATATTACTTGGCTTTAGATCTCTGTGGATTATCTTTATTCTTGAATCTCTGTGTAGATAAAGTAATCCTCGCCCAATCCCTTCGATAATGTGGAGGCGTTTGCTCAAATCCAAGATTCTTTTATGTGTTGGATCTAAATACTCATGGAAAGACAGTGAGTTCAGAATCTTTTATAACTGGCAGCTTGAGCAATATTTGTATGAGGAAAAGCAGGAAAAGTAATGAACATCTATTGCCAAGAGTTTCTAACTATGTTGCGTACGTGGACTCTCCAAAAATGTTGTTGTACCCGAGTCGGATCCTCTAAAAATGCATGACATTTAGAGGATACGGCATGCTCCCGGAGACATTATTGGAGAATCCGAGTAACATAAGTTTTTAAGGACTAACCAAAGAGAAAGACATCCAAGCTTTTATTTGGCAAGTACTCATAGATCAACATCTTCTCCTCTTTTTCTATGCAACATCCCAATAATTTAACAAGGTTTCTATGTTGGACTGTAGATATCAGCAACACTTCATTCATGAACTCTTTCATCCCTTGTCCTGAGGCAGTTGAAAGCCTCTTGACTGCTATTTCTTTCCCATCTGCTAATATCCCCTATGAACAAACACCAACTTTCAGCATCAAGAATCCTAATTAAAAATGAGAAATACTAGTACTTGACATTGTTTGGAAAGAACGAGAGTTGAAACAGATTCGTCCACTCTAAGAAATCATTTGCGGAAAAAACATAAATACCTTGTATACCGGACCAAAACCACCTTGTCCAAGCTTATTATTCTCATGAAACTGGTCTGTGGACATTGCAAGCACTTCAAACTTGAACATTGATAAATCATCCAAATCAACTTTGGTAGTAATATTTTCTTCCAAAGAGATCTTCTTTCCATGCAACTGATGGTTTCTTTTAAACTGAAACCATATTTTACTTCTTCGCCTTGATATCCAAAACAAGCAAAGAAACACACCAACGCAAACAATTAAAAAAGATACGATCACTAGAACTGCGACTAGTCTGATCACTCTGGGATGATCTGCAACGAAAACAAAGAAAGTAAACTACTGAAAACAATGGAGAGGATAATGAGAAGTTTTGCTGCAATAGAATCAATACAATACCAAGTTCAGAATATGCCACACGAATGTAAAGAGTTGTGCCAGCGCGTTGTAATTCCTGAATGTCAATCAAGCTTCTACTCCATGACATACAGCCTATCCCCGCGTCAAATGCATAGGCTAAGCAAGAAAAGTTTTTCAAGCATTGGCTTCTGCATTCATCTTCCATCTTAGGTGGTAACCATTCTGCAAAATCAGGCACTTTCATGAATTCCATCTTCACAAATCCATCTTCTTTACTTGTTTTGTTCTTTTCTTCACATTGCAAAGGTTTCCTCCTCGCACAACCACTACTCCAATTTCCTTTCTCCCATTCTTCTCTACTCTTTGGATCAAAACCTCTCAAACATGAACAAATTGGTGAATCCAATGAATTGCAACAACCAAATGGACCACAAGTTCCATAGACATCACAATCATCGCTGATAGCTAACCAAGGGATCTTCCAATTCCTCTCATTCTCATCCCAATTTGATTGAACCAAGTTCCCATTCGGCTCCAATGTGAATCTCACGGCTTCCTTTCTATCAGCAAGACCAGTAAGATAAACAGTTCCCTCTTCATCATCTACAACATTGTATCCACCGGTATGCACGGATCGCATATTCTTTACTCCAATGAATATCTGACCATTCCATTGACCACTTCTCCAGAGAGGATACTTCCCTTTCCAAATAAAAAGCTGAGGAAGGATCGTGGTAATGCTACTCGAAAAGTCACCGAAATTTGGATCCAAAGGGCTTTTCCAAGATCTCAACCCTGTTTTCTCCCTTGTCTTTTCAGAGTTAATAGGTATTTTCATTTTGGGCAAGAATGTATCAGAAGGATGTTGGTAACTTTGCCATATTATGCTCCCATTCGAGTTGTCAAGTAAAACAAGATTCCCACCTTGGAGCTGAGCAGTTGAATTTGTAGTGTTTGAAGTTGAGGAAATATTTGATGACCAAAGAGTTTGTTTATCTCCATTCATAACAACAAGATTTCCATCCTCAGATATCTTAACAACACCAGAAGAATCTTTCAAAGGCTTGTCTCTATTAGCCACCCAAACTACAGTTGTTTCAGAGAAGTTATACCAGATACCAACGTATCGATACGAGCTATTTTGAGGATTGAAAAATCCCAACTTGAAGATGTTACCAGGACACCATAAAGTTGCTGGATCTCTTAGATATTGAGTGCTGGTAATGTTACATATTCCTATGCAAAGTCCAAAGTAGAAAGCATAAAGAACAAGAATGTTAATAAGAAGATATTGCAGATTTTGATTACAAGTGATCATCACTTTGGTTCTTTTTTGCTGCAAAAGAGAATCAAGATTTTGTTGGATAAGAAGGAAGCTCTTAAATTTGCAAAATATGCATCTGCAGCCACAAACGAATGTGTGGTCTTATTATTTTCCACAAACCTTGTCTTACTTGCTAGTTATAGCGAACTTTTTTTTTCCACTAAGAATTTTGAGCTAGACCTGAAAAGGAAATGAAAAAGCTACCATGTGCCCGACAAGTTTTGTGGCCTAAAGCCAAACTTTATGATGACCCTTAATTTTTTTATAAAAAAATTTATTTATTTATTTATTTGAAGTCTATTTTTCTAGTGTTTCTTAGATACAAAGTTATTAATAATTTTCTAATAATCAGTAACTTCTAATAAGTCTTTCTTAATTAACAATATAGCTAATCCATTTAATCTTTATTGAGACATTGTTGATCTTAGGTGATATTTTATCAATTTTAATTTTGAAAATCGCTTTCCGCTAAAACGACAGAAACAAGAGTTATTAACATTATTCCATAAGTAATATAGGCATTGGAAAAAGAATCAATTTTTTTATTTGACCAAGTGTATCAATTAAACTGCTATCTTCTAATTGTACTATTTTTTTAAATATTTTAAATTCTGAAAATAAATCTAAACGATCAATATTAAATTTATTATTTTGCTTTAAGGAACATTCAAAATTAAGGCAATATTTTTTCAAGTTTTAATCATCTAGTGATCTTAGTTTTTACCGCTAAATAGAAAACCAAAAATATTTTTTAGGCTTCGAATTGTTCAAATCTATTTTGAAGTGAAAACATAGCCTTGTCTACTATGTATAAAGTAATCAACTCCAAAGGACTCTTCGAAAAATTTTGAGATTTTATTATCAACATTCTTATCAAATTGTTACTTCCTATATATCATACGTTTCTTATGAAATTCGGGTTCAATATTCATTTTAAGTGCAATTTTTGTGGCAGAAATCATAACAGTTGCAAACTCTTCTTCTCTATACTTGTTAAAAAAAGAAATTATTTTTTTTCACTTCGCGTAATCTTTTCTTAAACTTATATATAACCTATTAAGTACAACAAAAAATGAGCTCTCATAACTTTATTTGCTTTATGGAAGGGCCTCACTCTTTAACTTTTACTTAGATATCATACTTATCCGCCAATTTTGGGAAGTCCATATAATTTCATTGTTTCGTCAACAATCATCCCCCCCCCNATTTGGCTGGAATTTCTTTACTTAGTTTATGGGGTATGTAGATGTGTTAGAGTTTGCATTTAACGTCGTCAAATTGTATCCCAATAGCCAATATATTAATACTCTCTCCGTTTTAATTTAGATGAAGTAGTTTGACTGTAACAACCCTACCAGTCGTTTTGAGCTCTAGCGCGTCGTTGGGTAGTTTGAGGCCATGAGCAGTTCACTTCAGGCATTATAACTTGTATGTATGGTCGGAATCGAAATTCGGGAAATTCGGATTGGATTTGGAAAGAAAATTCTCATTTCAAAAGCTCAAAGTTGAAAGAATTGACTAAGATTGGATTGTTGAGTAAACCACCTCGGAATAGAGATTGGAAGGTTCCAACGGGTTTATATGATGATTTTGGACTTGGGCATATGTCCGGACCGAGTTTTGGATGACCCGGGAGTGTTTCAGCGCCTATTGTGGGAGTTAGCATTTTGGAAGAATTTCATGAGATTCGATTAAAGTGCATTTCAATGCTATCGATATTCGTTTAGGATTCCGACTCTAGAAATAGCTTCATTTGGTAATTATGGTATTAGGGGCGCGATCGGAAATGGATTTGGAGGTCCGTAAGTTATTTTGGAGTCATTTGGCTAAAGTTAGAAATTTAAAGGCCTTTGAGAAGTTTGAGCAGAAGTGGACTTTTTGACATCGAGGTCGGATTTCAATTTCGGAAGTTGGAGTAGGTCCGTAATGTCAAATATGACTTGTGTGAAAAATTTGAGGTCAATCAGATGTGATTTGATAGGTTCCGGCATCGAATGTAGAAGTTTGAAGTTCTAAAGTTCATAAAGCTCGAAATGGGGTGTGATTCATGATTTCGACGTTATTGGATGTGATTTGAGGCCTCTAGTAGGTCCGCATTATGTTTTGCAACTGGTTGGTATGATTGATTGGGGTCCCGGAGGCCTCGGGTGGATTCCGGGTGGTTAACGGACCAAATTTGAGTTGGGGGGAGGAGATGAAGATTGTTGTCATCTGGTGTAACCGCGCATGCGAGGTCTTGGCCGCAGGTGCGGAGCCGTAGAAGCGGCCTCGGTGCCGCAGAAGCGGGAGTGGCTAGGCTAGGCTGGGACTGCAAATCCGATCACCTTGCTGCAAAAGTGGGACCGCACCTGCGGAAGGAAGGGCGCAGATGCGAATGCTGAAGCCCTAGAGGAGGACCGCAGAAGCGGATTGTGGGTTGCACCTGCGGAACCGCAGAAGCGGTCAAGTAACCGCAGATGCGGAAATGCTGGAGGCAGTGAGGTTCTTTTAAATCGGGGTTGGATTCATTTAAACCCTATTTCTTCCATTGGAAGCAACTTTAAGGTGCCATTTTCACAACCAAGCATGAGGTAAGTGGCTTATGTTAGTTTTGAGTTAAATACATTGATTTTGTATAGATTTTAGCATGAAAATTAGTAGAACTTGGGGTTGAGGGGAAAATCTAGAAAATTAGTATTTTCGGATTTTGACCACGATTTTGGACATGAAATTAAGAGTAAATTATATATTTGAGTTCGTGAGGTTATGGGTAAATGCTATCTTCGAAAATTTTTGGAATCCGGGCACGTGGGCCCGATGGCAATTTTGTCAACTTTTCTAGTGGAGTTGGGAATTTATGTAAATTGACTTGTTATACGTATTAGGGTATGTTTTCATTGGTTTGCCTATTATTTAGCTAGTTTTGGGAGTGTTGGCATCGATTTGAGTCATTAGAGAAGCGTGAAATGCTAGTTATGGAACTTCGGAACGAGGTGAGTCTCCTTTCTAACCTTGTAAGAGGAAATTATCCTCATAGGTGAATTAATTGGATATGTGCTTCTATTTGTGGGGGCTATGTATGCATGAGATGACGAGAGTCTGTGCGTAGCTACTATTATGCTTAAGTCCGGGTAGTGTATGACCCAAAAGTAAGTCTTACTTGTAATATTTGCAACCTTGTTGTCAATTTAAAATGCTTAAAACATATCAATGTGGAAATAAATTTCTAAAGGACTTGACATCATTTCTTGATTTTTAAAAGAGAAATTTGCCTTTTCCTCAATAATTGCTCCTTGATGAATTCTTGATTTGACTATTTGAATGTGTTTATCTATTTTGGAATGGGCCAAACACCTTGGTAGATTGAATAGATGCATCTATGGTTCGCGCCATTCGACCCTCTGGCAGTGCACAATATACATATTGTTGGATCGGGCCGTACGTCATCGGCATGATTTGAGCATGCTTGAAATTCCTGCTTGAGATTTACAAAATTGATATTGTCTCCCTGGTCTGAGATAAATTGATAAACATGATGAAATATAAATCTTGGAAATCTAGTATTAAAAAGGAAGTGTTTACCTGCTTCAGGATTTATTAGTTTACATTTGCTTTATAAAATCCAGGATTATTACTCTATTAATATATTATTATTGGACCACTAGTAAGTGTTGAAGTCAACCTCTCGTCTCTACTTCTTCGAGATTAGACAGAATACTTACTGAGTACACGTTGTTTCGTACTCATGCTACACTTGCTGTGCATTTTTGTTGCATAGGCACATGTACGTTTAGTGGCCTAGTTTGGTGCAGCGGCATGGTTGATACAAAGACTTAGGTGAGCTGCACTTCTCGAGATGATATGCATCAAGCAGAGTCTCCTTCAGAGTATTGTATTGTATTTTCTTTCTACTGTCGAACTTATTTTTTGGATAGTTATTGTATTATATTATTTCTTAGAAATTGCTCATGCACTTGTGACACCGGGTTCTGGGATGTCCATGGGATTATTAGGTATTTAAAGACTGTTAAAGGTATCACTATTTATTAAGTGAAATTTATTATTTATTGTTTAATGTATAAAAGAAATGATTTCAGAAATATGTAAAACGAGAAATTTCTAGTTATTTGGTATTGGCTTGCCTGATAGTGGTGTCCGACGCCATCACGGCCCTTAGTAGATTTTGGGTCGTGACAATATGGTATCTGAGCCCTAGGTTTCCTTAGGTCTCACGAGTCATGAGCGAGTCTAGTAGAGTCTTACAAATCGGTACGGAGACGTCTGTACTTATCTTCGAGAGGCTACAGGGCTGTTAGGAGCACTTTCCTTCTTGATTCCTCACCGTGCGATTTGATTCCTTTGAGACTTATGCCTTTATTTCTTTCCTACTCAATCTTATGCGACGTGAAGCGCTTATTATAAATTGGGAATTGAAGAATTGTAATGGTACTACATATGTGGTGGGGAATGTTTCTCCCTTTGTAGTTGGCTCGACTATTGTTGTCGCCTTGCAGAAGGATATTCTGTCATTTCAGCTCCGTAGCTGTACTTATGAGAACTTTGAGACTATGCACAGGTTGCTATGATGCCCGTGGGTGGTTATCACATGATATTGAGGTGATAGTGGAATGCTTGTCCATGCGTAGAAGCAGTGTATGAATTGGAAGGAGGTTTTCTCAGTGCATGATTCAGAGATCCGCTGTTGTATTTTTGGTGAAGGAAAGTCAATCGGACTATGAATGATCAAGTTTAGGTTGATGGAGTAATGAGACTCGGTATTTTAAAGAGTGGTGGAATTTTATATGTGATGTGGTATCGTCGCTCTTGATTGAATATGTTAAGTTTGCCGGTGTTATGATCTTCCACAAATTGCCTGTGGGGCAGAATACTATGAGATAGTATTGAAGAAGAGGCTGTTAGAGACCGCAAGGTACGGTGGTTCAGGATTGAATCGATGTTTCTAATGTTGACGGCTCGAGAAAAGATGATCTTCGTAAATATTTAGAGTTAGTAGCGATCTATTAGTTCAAGTGCTACCGAGTTAGATTTCGATCTAAGGCATCAGTTGAGCAGCAAGGGAGGATAAATGACATGTGGGAAGTGTCATGCGGTGG